GGTCGGGGGGGGGGCAGGGGGGTCCTGTCTTTCTATCTGTCTGTCGTTCTGTCTGTTCTGTCTCTGTCCCTGTCTGTCACTCTGACAGTCAGGTGTTCTGACTCTGCTTTGCCGTGTCTCTCCAGAGGCTTTTCAAGTATGTGCGTGTGTGTGTGTGTGTGTGCGTGTGTGTGTGTCAGTCACACCTCAGATTGTTGTCAGTGTCACTGATGTGTTTCAGAATCAGACAGTAGTCAAAGTCAGAGAAAGCTGCAGCTTTTTGTAACACTGAGGCCCAGGGATGACAGGACAGAGGAGAGGGAGTGAAGGAGACATGGAAGGAGACAGTGAAGGAGGCAATGAAGGAGACAATGAAGGAGACAATGAAGGAGGCAGTGAAGTAGACAGTGAAGGAGGCAGTGAAGGAGGCAGTGAAGTAGACAGTGAAGGAGGCAGTGAAGTAGACAGTGAAGGAGGCAGTGAAGGAGTCAGTGAAGGAGGCAGTGAAGGAGGCAATGAAGGAGACAATGAAGGAGGCAGTGAAGTAGACAGTGAAGGAGGCAGTGAAGGAGGCAGTGAGGAGGCAGTGAAGGAGACATTGAGGGAAGACAATTATTTCTTTATTTATTATGAATGTATTCAATCTCAGTTTTTTGGTTTCATTGAGCTTTACTTCACAGTCAAAGCCATAAATGAAATGGAACTAATGATTAGTCAAATCATTTATTTTGGTTTCGACCAATGGTGCGTCACCAGGATGTAGTGAAGGAGGTTCTAACTCTGAGCTCCGACTCATCGTTAAGACGAGAGTCGTTAATTATTCTAATGAATTTGTCAACTCTTATCAAGTTCAAACTTCTCAAACTGAGAGTCCGTGTCTCTGTCTGTGGTCAGACTGATGACCACTGTCATTGGTCCACCAGAGCAGTCACATGACTCAGACCATTACTGTAGGATATGAGGCAGTCGTGTGTGTGTGTGTGTGTGTGTGTGTGCACCGGCAGACAAATGGGCTGACAGAAATGTGAAGTTCAAGTCTAACCACTGTCAGTCTGTGGGGGGGGGGGTACTTAGGAAAGGAGATTACTGTATGCTGGGGGGAGGGAGGGGAGACAGGAGAAGCAGAAGAGAAAAGATGAGGGAGGGAGGGAAGGAGGGAGGAGGACATCTACATGCTGAAAACACACACAGACCCAGAAGACCTCTGGACCAAACACTTACAGAACAGTAACCATGGCAACAACACTCCTGGATGTGGTTGTTTAAGGAGACAGAGACTGAGTCAGGGACAGCGATGGGGACAGTCTCAGGTCTCAGGTCTCAGGTCTCTTCAGAGAAGGTCTCCAGAGCTGAGTATAAAGTATTTTTCTGTCTGGACCAAAAAACAGACGTCTGGTCTTCAGGTTTCAGAGATGAAACTGAGGAAACGTGACACAAGTATCAGAGAGAGGTCAGAGGAGGAGGAGGAGGAAGAGGAGGAGGAAGAGGAGGGTGATGATGGTGATGATGATGATGGTTGTGATGATGATGATGGTGATGATGGTGATGATGATGGTGATGATGATGATGAGGGTGATGATGATGATGATGATGATGGGGATGATGATGATGATGATGATGATGGGGATGATGATGATGATGATGATGATGGGGATGATGATGATGATGATGATGATGATGATGGTGATGATGATGCGTCAGACCTGGACCCAGACCACCAGGTGTCAGTGTTGTGGCTGAGGATCAGTCTGATTGACCACTTCCTGTTTCTCCTTAAATCACTGCGTTCTCCAGTGAGTCTCTGTGGTCGGTCAGACCGAGTGTGTGAGTGGACCGTGGCTCCGTTTACTACATCGGTCTGTGTATATGTTATTGTCACGGCCCAGTTAGAAGAGGAGGAGGAGGAAGAGGAGGAGGAAGAGGAACACGCACGCATGTTCGTGTCAGAAACTCTCAGTTTGTTATTAAACAGGACAGGAAGGTGAACGGCTGAATCAATAAAACTCCAGTCCCAGCCATGAATCCTGAGAGCAGGGCGCACACACACACACGCACGCACACACGCACACACACACGCCTGTGCTAATATGTTTAACCAGTCCAAAACAAACGGCTGCTGTGAGAACCACAGCCTCGTCCATCCAGAGAACAGGATCTGATTTCTGATTAATTATAGATGAACAGAGAGAAACAGTAACGTGGACGTTTCATCAGTCACAGCTGAAGGGATTTAATCTTTAAACTGACACCTCTGGGTTTTTAAAGGGGGAGAGACGGGGGGAACTGGGGTACGAAATACTGACATGTTCACACCACACCCACCCACCACGACTGTCGACCGGAAACAAAGTACGAAGAGTTGAGGAGAACTTCCTCCAGAGTCAGAGGAGAAAAACCAACAGCTTCATCAACAACTCTGTTCATATGCAGATGACGCACGAGTCTAAACATCATCTCATTATTATTAACACTAATTTCATACCTCTGTTACCAATTAGCAGCTCTGCTAATCCACACTTTCTTAATAGCATTCAGAAAATCTACTAATGTTAAAATTTACGAATCCTAACAAATCTGCTAACGTTCATCAACTTTCATAATAGCATTAAGAAAATCTAATGTTAAAATTTGCAAATCCTAACAAATCTGCTAACGTTCATCACATTTATCGGTCTGAGAAATGCCCTTTGCATCTGCTAAGATTTAAAACATCTGCTAACATTTATCACACGTGCTAACATTTATCACACGTGCTAACATTTATCACACGTGCTAACATTCAAACTGTGTGACTTTCAGGCCTCCGTCTTCAGTGTGGCGGCTCTTTTCTCCCTCGGCTTCTGTCGTTAAATGCGCAGTAAACAGTGAAGTTCATCCTGTTTTAATTAACTGTGGGAGCTAGAACACACAGAGATCATTAGTCTGACAAACCAACGTTCCGTCGTCCTGGATGATTAACGTTCCCACAAAAGAGAAACTTTGGCATTTAAATCTGTCCACGCAGCAGCCACCGCCTCCGAGAAGACACAGGAATAAAAAATGTCCTCGTCTTTGTCTCCCAGGGAAAATCACATTTATGTGCGTCTGAGAAATGCCCTTACATTTTTTAATGGCCACATCTGGAAGGGGCGCAGAAGAGCTGCAAATGATCGGAAGGTAATTTAAAGGAGAAAAAAAAAACAAAGAAACCTTTAATTAAATTTTTGCTTGTGTCAGGAAGTGCGTGACGGCGGCCATGTTTCACAGTAGGGTCCAGAGGGGGACTAAATGTTAGCCTCAGCTCGTACCAAAGTGTAAAGTTTACAACATGTGTGTGTTGTTGGAGGTGTGCGGCTCAACGAAGGAGGTTGATAGAAAAAAAATGAAAATTTTGCAAGATTGGATTAAAAAAAATCATCTGCGATGTACTGAAGGAGCGAAAGGAGAACCACGATACAGAGAGGGAACGCTGTTTATATAAATATTAGAGATTATCTCGACCTTTGACTCAGTTTAATTCCTGCTTCTTAAACAGTCAAACAACAACAACATGACGGCAGAACAGAGAACCAGCACACAGTCATAAACCTTCCCCCTCTGTCTCCCCCTAGTCCCCCCCCGGCCCTCTTCGGCTGTCAGAGTAGTGATAACACACAGAATGGACTCTGAATTGACTGCTGCCTGGCTGAGTGTGAGGAGGAGGAGGAGGAGGAGGAGGACTCAGTGGATGTCAGGTGGATGTCAGCAGAACAGCAGCAGGTCGTTTCAGCTCCACGCCTCGACGTCTTTTTATTATTGTGGAGGAGATGTTTTTATCACTTCCTGTCTGACTCACATACATCTTTGGACAAAGATGGATCACCCTCTCCAGGTCAGCTTCAAGGCTGCTGCTGATATTTGTCTTCAGAAGTCGACACTGACCTTTGTCCCTGACCAGTGATGGACGACCTGCAGCTCCTCCAGGTGGTCAGTGGAGGCGGAAGACGTTCCCGCCACAGGCTCCAGTCCTCTGTGCTGATGGAGCTGGGGTCAGAGTCAGTCACAGGTAGAACAGCTGGGGGTTAGTTTCTATTTCTGTTCTACAGTCAACACAAAAAGGAAAAAAAAAATCCATAAATGCAGAAGACCTGATGAAGCTGTTGAGAGGATTGATAGTGGAAAATGTTCCAGGAGCGCTGCGTCCGGGCCAACAGCCATAAAAAGTCGGCTCATCCGTTCTTCTGTGTTAAAGCAGCAGCTTCTGAAATGATCGGTTCTTCTTCAACTGGAACAGAGACGGAAACAGGGCCCAGAGCCAGAGAACTCACCCCTGGTGTCACCCCTGGTGTCACAGACTCTGTTGGTCCAGAGATCTGCACCGTCTCAGACGAGGTCAACATTGTTGTGACATAGCGCCGCCCCTGTGGCAGTAGGAAGACACAACCTGTGGATGGAGGCTGGAGGTTGAACCTGTTTGTTTCTGACTGAACTGCTGGTACAGGACAGATGGTCACCTGCAGATGCACACCGTGACCTTTGACCTCTGCTCAGTCAGCTGACTTTGATGTGTCACTCGAAGCACTGCTTCCTTTGATCTGACACACGCCACTCAGTGTCTGTCACAGTGTGAATACTCAGCATTCACACTACATTCACTCTGTCCCCAGTCATGCTCCTGGATCAGATCTAACTTGACCACTAACTGTGTCATCAGACTCTCACACATTGTTTTCACAGCGCCTCACAGTGGTCACAGTAGGGGACCAGAATCCTTTGAGGCCAGTCTACTGTCCAACACTCTGTTCTGGTTCTGGTTCTGACTGCTGGTGTCTAAAGCTGAGAGATGGAGGTGCAGATGGTCAGTGTCAGACCAAGAGGAGGACTGTTGGTATCAGGCTCAGCTCTCACCTTTGGAGACTAAATAGAAGATTGTTCTTTCATCCTTTCATGTGAACATCCAATGGTTGTCCTGAAGAGAAGGCTTGAGGACTCAGAAGAAGACACTGACAGGCTGAGGGAAGACAGAGAGGACGGAGAGAAGAAGAAGAAGAAGAAGCAGCAGCAGAAGAAGAAGAAGGTTAAAAACAACAACAACAACAACAACAGAAGAGGTAATGGAAGGAAGAAGGAAGTGATGTCACAGAATGGACATTCAGTGGGGAAAGATGGACAGATTAAAGGATTGTGTTCAACACTGAAGTACAGCTGCAGTTTGATGACCCTGCTGACCCTGCCCCTCTGCTTCCTGTCCTCCTGTCTCTGCGTCTTTCTTGTGTCTGAGTTTTAACTTCAACTGTTTCAGGACTCTCTACACATCGGTGCAGTAAAAAATAAAAAAAGTGCTCTTCTCTTCTCCAAAGATCTCCAAGTATGGAGGACAACCTGGACGTGTCCTCTGCGGAGGACGACAAGAGCTCCATTCAAAAGCACCATGAGAAGTCCCAGCGCCTCCACACTGTGAAGAAGCATCACTGCACCAAGTGTGGGAAGAACTTCTCGGATCGGTGGATCCTCAAACAGCATCAGTTCATCCACGCCAGGGAGAAACCCTACGTTTGTGCGGAGTGTGGGAAGAGCTTCACGGTCCAGTCCAATCTGAAGCAGCACATGTGCATCCACATCGGGGAGAAACCCTACGTCTGCACCGAGTGTGGGAAGAGTTACACGGTGCAGTCCAGTCTGAGGCAGCACCTGTTCAGTCACGCCAGGGAGAGACCGTACGTCTGCACCAAGTGTGGGAAGAGCTTCATCGCTCAGTCCAGTTTCAAGAAGCATCAGTACATTCACAACGGACAGAAACCGTACGTTTGTACCAAGTGTGGGAAGAGTTTCAACGACAGGAGCAACCTGAACCGACACCAGCACCTCAACTGTAAGAACCCCATGTCTCTGACGGCCGCGGACCATCCGTCCTTCACCGAGTGACTGGCGGTCAGACTGACTCCTCTGTGTGTGAGGTCAAAGGTCAAGTGTACCATCATTGACTCACAGTCACCAGTAGGATGTACAGTAGTGATTCAGTTTGACGTAGAACAAACAGAAGACGTGAAGAATATTTATTTCCTCTTTTCATTTTTGACATTTTTAAAACTAACCCTCTGACCAAACCCACCCACAGGTACAGAACCACACCAGCTAAAAAAATGACTTCAATGATAATGAATAATGATTTCCTTCACTGTCTTTAATGTAAACTGTAGACGGACGACGATGACCTGAGATAAAAGTACAAAGGTTTGGAACTATTGAACTGACTGTGACCAAATAAATGGGATTAAAGTATTCTTCACTGCAGTGACTCAGTACTGAGGTTTTTACTGTCTGTACGATGAAGTAACTCATGATTCTGTTATTATGTCTGTGTGGGTTATTATGGTCTGGAGATGAAAGGCTGCGTCAAGGTAGAGTTTTAGTTAAGGATGGATGGATGGATGTACACGAGTACATAAGTACATGTCTATACGAGTACATGAGTACATGAGTACACGTGTACATGAGTACATGACCTGGTCCATCCTCTCTGTCTGTTCCGGCTCGGGGAACATTACCCAGATCTGCAGCTCTCTCTGATGTGTTTGTTTAGGAGAGTGATGCTGGCACTCTGCCAACCCCCCCCTCA